AGGTTGGAATGGCATAATATGGTCTGGGCAGGGTGCATTTTCCCTCACCATAGCTTCATTTTTTGGCTGGTGTTGCGAGGTAGTCTAAAGACTAGAGTTCTGCTAACAAATAGAGGTATGAGAATTGAGAAAGGATGTTGTTTGTGTTGTAGATATGAAGAAACTTATGAGCACTTGTTCTTTGATTATAGCTTTGCTAAAGAAGTGTGGAGGTTAGTTTTGGACTTTTTGAATATCCAGAGACAACTCGAAAAATGGAGTGTTGAATGGCTTTGGCTAAGGAAGGCATGTAAAGGTTGTTCAACTCAGCCACAGAAGTTGAAGATTGCTTTAATTGCCACTTTATACATGATTTGGTAGGAAAGGAATAGGAGAATATTTCTTAGAAAGTTTTTTACTGAAAGGGATGTATATAATGAGATAATTGATTTTTTGAGGTTAAAGTTTTGAGAAGTGTATTTCCCTAGGTATGCTTGGGAGTAAAAGTGTATATGCCATTTAATGTTCAATGGAAAAACTTGCCTTTTTCAAAAAAAAAAAAAATTTGACCATGTCATCAGATGGATTTTGCCACGTAATTTAAGAAAAGAAAAAAAAAAGGATCTCCATTAATTAACATGTCATATTAGTCAAAACTTAACGAATGAATAAAAATGGAGTCGGATTTTAAATTGTAAGGATCAAAAAGGAAATTTTTTCAATATAAGGATCAAAAAGGGTTTTTTTAATAGTAGAGGGACCAAAAAAGATATTTAACTAAAATATCATGGTTTTTGTTCGAACCGCAACATTGGTTTTGATTGAGACATCTTTCATTTCACATGGTTTTTGTTGATGATGGTCTTCGGGCCTTTCATTTTAAGAACATGAGCCATATCATGTTAAATAAACGGGCCAACAAGGCCCGGCATTTGGTGAGTAGGCCTTCCATATAGCTGTATATTTGTTTAATTTTCTTGATCGTGCTTGAACTGGATTTGAAATCAAGCTCTGTTTACACCCTTAATTGAGCTTGGCTCTGTATCGAATGTAAGATAGACGTATATATACGCACATACAAGTTGGGCATTATGTTACGGAGATACTTATTGCGTGTGTTTGGTCGAACGCTAACTTTCTTGGAAAAGTGAGTGATCGGTTAAAATATTATATGAAAAAGTTAAAAAATATTTTATGAAAAGTTAAAAAAGTATTATATGAAAAGTATTAAGTCTTCTAATAAAATTTTGTTGATGTTAATTTTATTGTATTTAGTAGCAAATTGACGTAGAAAAAGTATAAGGAAAGTCCGTAGGAAAAGTTATTAAATGGGTCTTGTGAAAAAATTTTTCACTTGAAAAAATGTGAGAAGAAAAGTTTATGGAATGAGAATCATGTTAAGGAAAATAGAGATTAAAAATATTATCTTTACTTTTTATTTATTATAATTTTAATGTGTATAAATATTAAAATACTTTTACAAAATCTTAAAGCGGAACATTTCTAGAAAAGTAAACTAAACATTTCATAACATTATATCTGTAACTAATAAAAAAATAACACTTTAAAATCTTTGTGTCACATATTAAAATGATATCAAAGGTAAATAACACATTAATATGAGATGTAGAGATTTTCAATATTAACTGTCATCTTTCTATTAATTGGGGTATATATTGTTAACATAAATTTAAAATATCAGGTTAAATTTCTCCCATGAGACAATAGGATTCCCCCTATATTTTTACTATACATGGTAATGTTACTTAAGTATAGCAGTGAAATACCAACATCGTCATTTATAGTTCTTAAGCTTGAATCTTTTAATATTTTAAGAGATTTCTGTTTTACAAGATAGATTATATATAGTTCATCATGTAAAATTACTTAAATACATTTAAATTGATTTTTATATTATTTTTTCAGAGACATTTAATTAATTTTATAAGGTGAATTACATTTAACACATTTTGTAAAACAGTTTTCAGATATTTTAAATAGTTGAATGTAAAAAGATTGTCAAGTGTCTACGTCAAGAAATCCATGTGTAAACCACCCACAGAATCTTTGAGGGGCCTGCTTTTGTCTCCTGACCAAAGAAATATGAAGATTTAGGGAAGCTAGAAGGTCTTCTTGATTAATTTCGGAGAAATTTAAGGAACAAGAAGGGGAGGGGGACCTTAGAGTGTGCTCAAGATTGAGAAAAATTCGGATGTATTAATAATTAAAATATTAAGATTGATTATAAAAATTTAAAATATTTTTAATAAATTAATATAAAAAAATTATTAAAATTAATTAAATAATTTAACAAGATTTTAGTATTTAAATTGTCAAAGTATATTAATTTTTACTTTTCTCATGTACTTAAATATATTATTTTTTGGGTAAAAGGTAATCGAGTATATTAAATATGATATGAGTTAATTTACTATTTATATAGTGGTTCAAGATTAGCAATTAATGATTTCAACCAAACCACTACATAATAATATTGTTTTTTAATTAACTATCAAGTATTTAGTATTTGGTAAAATTTGTTATTTAGTGATTTAACAGTAGCGATTAACAGTTAAAATTTAATCTATTAGTAGATTGAAATAACTCTCTAAAATAGTTTTTTGTCCTAAATAGCTAGCAAAATAGAATTTTCAATTATTATGACAAACTTACTTATAAAATAATCACATATAAAATGCAGGTTTAAGGTGTGACTTATCCCCCTCTTATTTCTACATTAACTTTCTATGTTCAATTTTAATATTAACTTGTTCATTTATATACTTTTTATAAATTAATGTGTTTGTAACAAAATTTCTTATTTAATAAAAATTTGTTAAGTACTAATAATCTAAATAGTTCAATGGTAATTTTTTTATAGTAGGAGTAAGGAGTATTAAATTTAAATTGTATAGCATATAAGTAAAATGAGTTGTAAAATAGAAAAGAGTTAACTTTTATTATACAACCTAGTATTAAAAAAGGAAATTACTAAGTCATAATTATAAATTAATTAATAGAAAAAATCTCTACCTTATATATAAAGATAAGAAATTACTTTCTCTACTAAAAAAATACTAAAGAATGCTTTGTATGTAATCCCATAATAATAACAATAGTAACAATAATAAAAATAAATTTTTTTAGTGTTAAGATCAATTAGGTACCTTTCAAATTGATCATTTAACTTTAAATAACATTATTTTATAATTAAACAATTATCAAAATTAATATACAGTACCTATTATTCTCTGTCTGCTATCTTATTTGTTATTTGTCACCAATTTTCTGTTGGATTTCAACATCAATACCAAACAATCCCTATTTATTATCAATCAATTTTGAGTCGGTGGTTATAATATTCAAGCCTACAAGTTCGGCAACCCCGGAGAATAAGAAGAAAATGATTGAGGAGTAATGAAAGCATTATTTTCTACTTTTATTTTTTTTCAAGAGGGGAAAAAGCCTTTTCACTCGGTGGAAAATTGATTTCTGCCCATCCATGGGACATGCCCCATGTTAGTGTGTTACCCAAAAGGTGGAAAGAGACCCTTATTTTGAAAAGATTAAATGAATGTGCTTCACACTTCCATTGATCCTCAAATCACCTATGGACAGACAAACTATAGTGGCATAGTGGCAT